GGAACACTCCCTCATCCTCTAGGCGCCCTGGCTGTCAAACTTGCCCTTCAGGTTCAGCTCTGGCCTCCCCTCCTCCTCCAGGAGGCCTGCCCTGACCCTCTCCGCAGCCTTTTCTGGGCTTCTGCAGAGCCCCGTGTCCCCAATTGTAGCATGCACAGGAAGAAAGGCCACCATCTCTGTCATCGCTAATGCTCACCTTGTGTTTCCTCTTGGCCAGGTACTGTGCTGAGAGCACTCTGTAACCTTCTTGATCCCTCCCAACACTGTTATCCCCATTTTACAGTTGGCAGGATCTGGGGCACAGAGAGATTAAGTAATTTTCCCAAGCTCACACAGCTAGGAAGGGGCAGGATCACGAGGTGGCAGCATGGGACAGGATCAAAGGATGCAGGGTCTACATGGTATGGCATGGGTTCAACCACCTCCTCCCCACATTAGCTGTGGGGTTGTAGATAAACAACTTAGCCTGCACACACCGTCATTGCCTCACCTGTAAAAGGGGGATAATAGGACCCATTTCATAGGATGTGTGAGGATTATGCGTACACACACACACACACACACACACACACACACACAGACACACTTTAATGTACTGAGAAGAAGATGTCAGCACACAATGTCTTACCAAAATTATGAAGTGGCAGAGGCAGGATTCGAACCCATACCTGCCTGTGCTCTTTGACATCAAACCACACCGTATAATTGTCTCTCTCTCTGTTCCTTAGTCCCCATCGATCTGGGGCAAACATGTACCTTCTCTGGTTTCCAGCCTCGCAGCCTCACAGCAGACTGTGGAGCCAGGTGTCGAATGAAGCAACGAAGCAATAAAGCACACGAACGCACCAAATGCCAAATGCTCATTAACAAACATCACTCCACCGCTTGCTGTGTGTTAGATTCTACGCGCTGCAGATTGAGTAGGGGACTAAACAGACAAAGTCCTTGTCCTCATGAAGCTTATATTCTAATGCGGGAGACAAACGAAATGAACAGGTAACAGCATGTAAGAAGGTGGTAACTGAGGGAAAAGGAAGATGGGGCGAGGAGAGAGACTACAAAGTAGGGGGTTAAGGGACATTGTAGTTTCAAACAGGACGGTCAGTCAGGCCTCTCTGGGAAGGTGACATCTGAGCAGAGCTCCGAAGGGGCATGGGAGCAAGCCAGGAGGCTACCTGCTGGAAGAGCATTCCAGGCAGAGGGAACAGCAAGTGCAAAGGCCCTGAGGCAGGACAGGGTCTGGATGCTCAAGGAGCAGCAAGGAGGCCAGTGTGCTGAAACTGAGTGAAGGGGAGAGGAAGAAGAGACGAGATCAGAGCCATGTCCCTTACGGTCTTGTAAGACTTGAGCTTTTAACCACAGAGAATGGGAGCCATGGAGGATGTCGAGCAGAGGAGTGACAGGAGCTGACTTAGGCTTCGACGGGGTCCTTGCACTGAGACTAGACTCAGGGGCGGTGAGGACAGAGCAGGGAGACCAGTTGGGAGGCCCCAGCAATGGTCCAGGTGAGAGGCGGTGGTGGCAGAAGCCAGGTGGGAGGCATGGAGAGCAGGCACCAGGCATGGCTAAGAGGGGGCTTGTCCTTCCTGGCCCTGCTGAGTTCAGGGCTTCGGGGTCTAACATTCTCATCCTCTCACGCACGTGTAACTTTGGGCAAGTTTCTTAACCCTTCTGGGCCTCAGTGTCCTCATCTGTGACATGGAAACCCCCCCACACACACATTCACGCACCTCACTGGGTTTTGGGGAGAAAGGATGTGTGTGAGTTGGTCAGCCAGGACCGCGGCACAGAGAGAGTTCTCAGAAGGAGATTTTGAGAAGCTGCTTATGCCTGAGAAGCTTGTTCTTTCTGTCACGTCCGTGGTCAGGCACTCAGCGGGCTAAATGTTATCTTCCCTCGTAATGGGGGGTGCTTAAGGGAAATGTCCAAGGGAAGAGGCAAGGGGATGGGGGTGCACTGGCAGAGACAGGGACCATGGACAGGAGGTGTCCACAGAACAGGGACGGACACTGGCCCTGGAGAGGGACAGTCAGCCCCGGGTTCAGATCGCCCCTTCCCCGCACGCCCTTTGACCGAGCAACACAAACAAGCTGCTCAACCTCTCCAGACTTCAGCTTCCTCCTCAGTGGGTGGAAATCAAACCTCCACCGTCCCCCAGTTGTTAGGAAAATTCTAAGGGAGGATTTAAGACAGAGCTTCCAACTCTGCCATGTGAACAAGTGCAACAACAAATTACTGTTGTTGTTGTTCTGTTATTGTTACAAGGCAGACAGTTGAGTTTCCCGGCTCCCCTGAAGTCGTCCCAACCCCCTCCCAGGTCTGCCTGCCGGCCCCGCCCCCGGCCACTGCAGCCCGGCCGTGCCAGGTGAATGCTCAGGTATGCGGAGGCGGGATGTCCCTGGGAGGGGGCAGGAAGGAGGGGCCAGAAGCCTGAAAAGGAAAAGAGAGCTGGGAGCAGGGCAGAGCCTGACGGGGCAGGTGAGGAGATCTGGGTCCGGGAGAGGAGGGGCTGGGGGCTGGACCCCTCGGTCTGAGAGAGCAGAAGCTGGGGTTTGGACCCCTGGGTCTGGGGGAGGAGGGGCT